CACGAGAATCCAGCGGCATCAGAATCGAGCGTATTCACAGGGACGTGGTCTTCCGTGTAACGAAGTTCGAACCTGCCCCGGGTGAGTGAGAGCACCGTAACGCTCGACTCGCGTGTAACCGCTTGCCAAAACAAGAAAGTGGTTTACCGTAGCGTTGAATAACGTGACACACATCGTCGTAATTCGATTTTCCTTTTCAACGATCGCGCTCATTCGCGGACCTGTGTCTAGTTCGAGGGAAACGGAACGATACACTTACAAGGAGACGTCCCCAAGCGTGACGTTGACTTTTTAATTAGCTTTCGCACAGTGGTAGATTAAAACGAACTGAAGCTAATAGTACATAGTTTTTAGGGCAGATGGTTTATAGTATATAAGATACAATTTTGAAAAAATGGCTATTATTAGGCTCCTAATACGTGTTTCCTTTTTGTCGTGGGTTCGACCCCCGATTGAACAAATTTTACAGGATATTTCTTTCTAATCTTCCAATTTATGTTAAATATACATATGATAAATGTAACTTATTTATAAGTAATATAAAAATAATTCGTTTTGAATCAAGTCGAATTATAAAATATATAACAATAAAGGAAATAGAAAATGTTAGTCAGCATCTAACTTACAATTAGTGTAATTTCCAAGGGGCTATTATCGTACGCGGGAAAAGAAAGTTTTTTTTTTAAGAATTTGTATTTTATATAACAAATAATTGAGGAATGTCAATGCGTTTACATATAATGGTAGAAATGCTAAACTAATACAACAATTTTGTTTGTTTATTTTAGGTATTTTTGTTCATTGATATAGCTACTTGAAATTTGTCCCTTTTTACCACAGTTGACATGATAATGTGAAATTGCAATGAATCAAAAAATCAAACGAATTATTAAAATATAGTTTAATCGGTTTCGCGAAAATTACAATAAATCTTTGATCAATTAAAAATATAGTTAAATATTACCAAATAATTATAGTTTCATTAGGTGACGACAGCTAGAAAACTACATTTTAATGACCTGTTTGTTTTTTTTCTCTAAAATTAAAAAAAATTCTTAAAAATAAGCAACATTAATGTTGTCCATCAGTTTAACATGTCTACTATTATGTATAAAAACGTTGACACTACAATTATTTGCTATGTGAAATAAAATTTAAGCGTAGTCCCTTAATTAAGAAAAGTGGACTTTATATTCAAACACTATGTCCTATAAAATGTAAGAAATACATTTTCACGTATCGATGTTATACTTCACTCTCAAATTCAATTTCCTGGACTAGTAACACTGCTCTAAACTTCGACGAGTAACTGTATCTTAGAATTCACCTTTCTCTGGATCCAGGTAGCTCAACTGATTAGAGCAGGTTGTCCTGTGAGCGAAAGATCCGGATTTGAACCTTCGTTCACTCAATCGTTCACTTTTCTTTTTTCCTCTTTCATAATTGGCGGAAACAAGAGAGATGAGTTTTCCTACATTGTGTATTTTATTTCAGTCTCAGTGCAATGGGTGGCTCGCGAAATATTGTTCAGTGAACTTTCTCCAAAGCTAGACGGTTAGTTTCGTTCTTCTGCACCGTTTCGGTTCCGTTGCTTGTTTTCGGACTCGGTTTCCGACCCCGTTCAACGAGGCGCGCATGCAATTCTTCCATGAAACTTTGCGTCCTCGCAAATTATTCCACGGCGAATTTCCCTATCCGTATCACGAGGATGTTGCGGGACTGCGTGTTTTCGCGATGAATAACATTCAATGGATATAATATTGCGGAATATTAAGCGGATAAGAGGAGACCCGGCGATTAAAATTAAATGTAGCTTGAAATTCGACGGCGCGTACTTGGTAATTTCCGACCCGTGGATCGATGTATGATTAAATACGCCTGGAAACTTTTGTTTTTGTTCTAATGACTTTCAGCGTTCCCATTTTTCCGCGGTGAAATTAGGTACAGTGGGTGTAGAAAGTATTCGTACACCGATCAATTTCCAAAAAAATTATGTAAAATTGTAATTTATTAACTTATTTTTTATAAACAATGACATTCTACATATTCTCGGAAATCTCTAGAATAGATAGAGTACAAAAAAAATAGTTATTTATGTAAGTTGCGAAATTAACAAGAATTAAACAGTTGCGCAAATACTTATTGCTTTAATATTTCTATCGGTTAATTATTTTTAATTTTTTAAACTTGATTAAAAAAAGAAGAAATTTACATTAATTTATAAGTATATAATACTTCCTTCGTGGGATGTACTTTTGATTTTATAATTATTGCAACTTTTCTAACCATGAAATTAACTAAATTATTAGTTATTCGAAGTGGGATCTTCTCCAAATTCCTCTATCAGAGCCATTTTTAAAAGTACTTTACTGGAAATTTGATGTTTTCTAATTCGTACGGAGCAATAAACTAATGTGTTTACGTTACAAACTCTACTCTAAATGGTTCGTCATAAGTACACTGCGGATCTTTATGCATTTATAGAAAACTTGAATGTGCAAGAAACTACAAAATGCAAACAATATGCAAGAATATAAAAAAGATTGAAAGTAGAGTTCGTGTTATAATATTTGCAGAATGAAACAAATTCCTATTTAAGTTCAATTTTTGAAGGCACGTTCGCGAAGATTTTATTTTGCATAAAGATCCGCAGTCTAGTCGTAAGAATCGTACAAATACTTATTGCTTCTATACTTTTACCCACTTTTCGCATTTTTTTGTTAATTTCACAAATTATATTAACTAGTAAATGTTATTTGGACTATATCTATCTTAGAGACTTCCACGAATATGTAAAATATCATTGATTATAGAAAAAGAATTTAAGAAACTACAATTTCACAGAAAAGTTTTTTGGGAAATTGATGGGTGTACGAATACATTCTACACCTACTGTATGTTGGAAAAGAACTGTTTCACCAGAGTTATACGGGGATACGAGTTATATTCTGGAGTATTGTTACACGCAGTAATACAATATCTTTCCTTTGAAAGGATATTTTTAAATTAATGTTCGTAGTAATGGCAAATAATAGAAACAAACAAAGTTCATTCAACATGAAATATCATTTTTTTCTCAACTTTTCATTTTTACATAAAATTACATGAATTACATAAGTATACGTGACATTTGGATCGCAGTTAAAGTTTGGAGGCTTCAATGATACAATATTGCCGATTGCCTTGGAAAGTAGAACCCTCAACAGATTCCAAACCTTAAAATCAGTTTTATTTAACGTATTAATGATAAGACTGTGGTGACATACATTTTTGTTTAGCACAAATAAATTCTGCGTAATTAAAATTATATAGTGTTTATAATTAATATTACATTATTACATTATTTTTATAAATTGCCTTTTTGAAAAGTAATAAGCATATCGAGAAAGAAGTGGTAATGAAAATAATCCCAACGTGATTCCAACGTATGACCTTTAAGTTAGAAGACCTTGACGGTATCTGTCGACGCAGCTGTTTGTAAACAATGCGGATTCTTACGTCTTGTAGATCAAACCTGTCTTGCCTCCCTTCCTCGCGCTTAACCGCGGAGGGAGAAAGAGAGACGTCAATGTAGTCTAGAACTGTAGAGCGTAGTGCAGAGTAGATCAAGGCAGCTGCGCCATTGTCTGCTGCGCATTTTAACACGGTTAGGGCGGGAAAAGCTATAGCGCACTTGTTGACGTGTAATGACAGCTCTATTATGAACTCTGATACATACAAAATATTTTAAACGAACCCACTGATTTTAAACAATTTATCCGTAGGAATCATTTGTTCATATTTTCATAAGCTTTTGTTTCTATACAAACTCAACGCAATTCGACAATTTCGAAATTGTGTACTTTTACAATTAATATTTTAATGAACATTTATTTTTTCATCTATGAGGTCAACAGTAATAACGAAAATCTCGTTTTTCTTTTTTCTTTTACACAACCCTTTAGTTCTTCATGGAATCCTCTTCATTTATTAACATAACAAGATGCTAAAACGAGATGTAAACTGAGATCAAATAATCACAAATCACAATGTGATATCAATTTTAATAACAAAGTCTGGTTAAAGACAAGCTGAAAACAAGTATAATAACTAAAATAGATTTTAAGTTAACAGAATATATACATTTGAAATGCAGAAATAGAAACAGTTATATTATTTCACCAATTATCATTGTGCTAACTTCTAAGAACTTCATTTTGTTTTCTATGTACGTTATTACCAATAATATATTGAACAATAACTTTATATTTTTTAACATACATTAAATTAATAACTAATTAGATTATATTAGTATAAAATTATTAATCTAATACATACGTGTCCAATTATGTGTGTATATATGTGTCGATATGTATATATATACATACACATAATTTTATACGTATATATTAGATTAATAATTATATATACATATATACATACATACATACATATTTAATATGTATAATTTTAGATATATTTACCCTATTATCCGTGTTACTTATATCTTACTTTCTTAAGTCTTTATCATTTTTGTTTCTGTTGCCTTGAGATATGCGTCGCAAGCGATATTTTGATAGTTTAACGAAGGATCTACGAGCTGCTGTCCAGTGTCTGTCTGTTTGTCTAGGAAAATTTGTTACTTTCCGATGTGTCACCGCGATACACGCAAAGGGTTACGATTCCGTACAGTCACGCGAGCTTCAATGCGTGGTCGCAATTGATCGAGAAAGATAACGTTACAGTGGACTTCTGACATGATTGTGCATTCACGATTCTTTTCACGATCAGTTTTCCCTCGGTTCGTTGCACCGTTTCCTCGTCGACGTTAAATATTTGCGCTTCGATGTGTTCGTTTCTTGTTTGAACGTCTCGTGCGCGCGCGCGCGCGATCTTTTGAATTGTGCACGTTTCCCGCCGTTTCATTTATGTGTGTGCGCGTGTGGCTCCGCGTTCAGCGGCGAATGCCTTTCAGAATTTCTTGCAGATTCATTATCTTCCTTGACCGCACCCGCAAACAGAATAGAAAGCAAGCATGAGGTGACGATACTAGGAGGATTAAACGAATTTTCCGTCAAATTCTACGGTCCACGGGGCAGTAAGTACCACATCATTTCCTTGTATAATAATTATAAGGTTTGCTTGGATCATTGAAAGTGATAAATAAAGTCGTTCACGGTCCTTCGAGCGTAACGTTTATTCTGAACGTTCTCGGGTTGTAGTTTCTTCTTGTTCTTCTTGGCGTTGAAAACTTAAAAAAAAAAAAAAAAATTAGTTTCATTATACTTGTTTATATTTTTAATCATATATTCTGTTGGTATTACGTGCTACAAGCATTGTGACTTATTCGTGACGTCTTCGAATACAAAAGAAAATCATTTAATTCACCTATAATTAAATAAAAATGGAAATAACAGTATTTGTTAAAATAAACATGTGAAATTACAAAGTGTAGACAATGGAAGAAAGAGGATACATGATTTGTAAGAAAATTTTTGACAACGACAAATGAAACGAATGAAGGCTATTTGAAATAATTGTAGCTAGACTGCGGATGTTTGTGCGTTTATGATAAGCAAAAATTTGGGAAAATGTCCGAGGATGCGGATAAATGCAAAAATATATAAAATATCAAGAATAAAATACGTGTTTAGAAAATGAGCCATACTTTCTTTTAAACTTCAAGAAGAAAATAGTTAGTTTTTTCGAAGGAAACTATAGCTCGAAGGAAATTATAGTTCGCAAACGTTCCAATAAATCTGATGCTCGGAAAACTGAACGACTACGATGAGCATGAACGTCTTTATTTTTTTGCATAGCTCGTACGTGTTTTTACAATACGAGTTATGTTCAAATCGATTCAGTTTGTACGCTCCAGTGCAATCACGAATTGCAGTAAATGTGCTGCAGACGTGTACATTGAATGTATTATGTAATGTTTAGTATTACTAGCGTACGCGTACACTTGCTGGTGAATGTGTTCACCTGCTGGAATATTTTAGTAATAGGAGCATTCTGATAGGAGTTTCGTAGAAATCGCATGCAATTTTATACAAAAATGTTTTGTTTTACAATATTGGTTGCGCAATATTGATTTATTCATTAATATTAACGATGTGATACATTAGGGTTCCTCAGATTTGTGTAGTAGTAATGTAGTTTTGTATGTAAATGTAAAATGAAAAATCAGTTTTATTAAATGATATTAAATTACGTGTATAAATACGTACGAAGTAAAAGAGTAAATTATATATTTTAATATATTTATTTACTCTGATAATTAAGGGCTTTCAAAATTCAATTTTCCGTATAAACTAATAACAACATATATATAAATTTATATTGGTCATAGCAAAAGATGTATATAGGTATTTTTAATTGTTTAATTACTCCAATATTATATTTAATAACTGTTACATTTCCTTCATTAAAGACACTTTAATGCTAAAGCGAACTAAAGAACTCTCCAAATATACGGAAATTAACTCTTCAATCTATCAATTTTTTCGTAATGATGCAAAAATATGTTGCAATAGAATGGCTAAACAATGAGAGATGCGTTGCAATGCAAAAGATAACGTATTTTCCTGATATCATTAAAGAATAGTTCAGATTCTTCTCAAGGCAAACTCGAGGTCGAGTTGGAGTGATTTCAATTGAAATACCATCTTTTTGTTTCCTCAGCTAGGTGATACAAAACGATAAAAATTCAATAGACTTTTAATCTTTTTTTTCAGCACTCCATTTAAAAACACTGGATCGACCTTGAAGTATAGAAATAATGTTGTTTCTTTTTTTAATATCTTATCTCTACTCTTATCTATTTCATAGATAATTATAGCTGTCTCAAGACAGCTGGTATAATTAACACATCCTGTGGAAATAGATAGCAACATATTAATGTGGATGTCACTGATTTCACCAAACACGATAACCTGTTTCAGTACCAGGCTCTCAATGCGGTAACTTGGTTATCTCGTCGTCGAAAGATAATAATCGGCATTGAATATCAAATTCGCGTTTTTCAATCCAAACAAAAAAGTAATCAACATTTATTTATCGACAAGTTATTTATACAAATTACAGGATAGTAATGTTGCAATGATAAATAAGTTTGAATGGGGTCATTAAACCTTTTTACCTATTAATTTAGTACAGTATTTTTCGTACATGCTATCCCTTATGTTTATGACAGGGTACTCGGATAACAATATTTACGTTTTCTATGTAATTTAATATGTGTTTTTCTTAATATAGTATAACACATCTAATCTCCGATCTTTTTGGACTTTTTTATATCAATTTCGTTTTGAAAATAAAGATTTAGGCAAACAGTGCAAAATATTAAACTATCAACCAAACGTGGCATTTTTTGTTATTAACAAAAGAGCTATGCTAGCAAATTCATCGTATATATGCATTAATCAAGTCAATCCCTGCTGTATGTTAAACTAGTCAATTCTTTTTAAATATCAATTTAACGGATTCAATAACAACATCTGTACGTGCTGAAGATGATTCTAAGTCAAAGAGCCTATGCGTAAAATAAATAATAGCTTCTTCGAGATTGTACAATTATTATCTTCTAAACAGCATTTTATGCACGTTTAACTAGGAAAGACAAGTTAATTTCCCAATTGAAGATGTTCTTACCGCGGAGTAAGACGAATTAATTCACATCGAAAATTTAAAAACGTACAGAAGCCCGACGTACCATACATTTTTCATTCCTAGTACAAACGCATACTATGCCATCCAATATTTATTCGCTTATCTTTTGTTTGTGCTCGTGTACCTTAAACCACAACGGCCATTTCACCAGTTGCTAGGCAATAGTATTACACAAAGTTACGGAAAAGTTTTCATAGGTTTTATATAAGAAATTATATTTATTCCAAGAGCAACTCGTTTTAAAAAAACATTTTCCGGATTGTACATCAAATTCACATAATATAGGGCAAAGGAAAGGATTTTTAAATTCTCGAGTAACAGAATAATTTTTTTTACCAACACTGCAAACTGATTTGTCGAAACTCTAATATTAATCATCTACTATGTCAGTATTTTAATTTTTTAAATTTGTGAAAGGACATTATTTTTTTGGTTATTTATACATTTATGATTTATTTAAGGGGTTAGTCACAGTCAGGAAAATGGAAACGGACAATTTCGTGTGTG